AAACGGTTCTCTATAATTCTGTATCCTATCGGCACCGTAAAAGTCGGTATGCTGTATATGATTTGACGTTTGTGCTTGTTGAAAAATCCACCGTTGATCAAATTACAGTGAATGTTGATCACATCGATATCGTTCTCGATGTTGGCCTTGTGCGGCGCCAATGTCGATTGCGCGTATATTCGTTTATCGAACCCTAGTAACGCATTCAACGAATTTTCTACGTTGAAATCGACTTGACTGTTATTTCTCAAGATCAGTTTTATTTTGTTCAGATTCAAATTACCTTCGAATTCGATATTGTTTTTGCCGTTCACGCTTCCTGCGTATTCGGATAGGTATTCGTTGATGGCTACGTATTCGTAGCTCCCCGGTAGTAAGCTTATGGTTTCGAACGTAACTCCGTTATCCGTCGATATTTTTAGTTGATTTTTTTTTTCGTTGATGTTTCTAATGGAATTGTAAACGGAGAAATACTTTAATCCCAGTTCGTACTGTTTATTGCGATCGAGTTCATACTCGTAGTCTAGAGACAATTTGATGTCTGGTTTATTCGAGGTGATAACGAACAATTGTTCTTTATTGGACATTTTTAATGACGTTTATATAGTCTTTTTTAGTGATGATTTTTTTCTCCAAAAGCCGTTTTAATATGCCATTGACTTCGTTGTATTGTCTGTCCGATCGATGACCTTCCTTCATGGCCGCTAATATTATTTCTAATCTATTAAGCAATTCTTTATTGTTGTCGGATAAAAACGTTATACCTTGTCCAGATGCCACCATATCATCGAATTCGTCTATTTCTTGTATGATTGCTGGATACTCTTCTGCATAATCATCTACACCCTCTTGCTCAATAACTTTTGTTATATATAAATCAACTTCTTTCAATCTTCTTGTTTCGGGTCCTGACTTTCTGATCGCATGTAGAAATTTTGAGTATGCAACTAAATCCTTGTAATCGGCAATTTCAACATCCTCGTCATTCATTAAATCTATTAACCCTCTCGTTAATGTGTATACGTAATCTTTTGTATCGATTATAGATTCGGGGGTATTTGTCCTAAATCTTATTCTAAAACCATTGAACAACAAACCCACTTCATCAATGATTGGTGAAATGCTTTTTGGTAATTCTGGCCTAGGGTTTGAAAAAAGACATTTTTACATCATCTACTGTCCTAATTATAACACCACTATATTCAATCGCTTTGGGGTGATGAGGTGTGGGTTCTATACGAGGCGTGGGTTCTATAACGAGTTTAATATCCTCTTGACTTTTTAACTTTTTGAAATAGAGTCTGTAGATTTTCTGTTAATCCGAGTTGTTGTAATCTGTAATTTTCAACTTGGGTCTTTATTTTATTCTTAGCTTTGATATATTCTCTATTTCTTTTTAAAAAATTATTCCAATCCGTCATTTTTAAACAAATAAAATTAACATATATCGATCATAACTCTTTCTCCCGCAGGTTTTCTAGTATTTACAAATACATATCCATGATCATCTGGGTTTCTCCATTGAGCTTTACAAACCTTTTTAAATGTATCTCTATCCATTCCGTGATTTATAGACTGAATGATTTGAGATAAATCTTTATCGTTTAATTCAAATAATAAAAAACAATTTGCATTTTTTCTAATGAACATAGAATCCATCCCGTAAAAAGATTGGGATTGGTATATGCAGTGACAGTTGTGATGTCTTCCTTTGGTGAAGAATTCTTGTTGAACAGTTTGATTTCTTTGCGCTACGCAGTCGTCAAACAATATTAAGTTCTTTCGATTGCTATCAATATTAGACAAGTCTAGATCATTAACATTTTTCGTAAGAAAAACTTTTATATCCGTTGGATTGAAAGATGGATTCTTTGATTGAAGTTTTCTATGATATCTTTTATTTCCACTTCTTCTTCGTTTCTTCGTAATATTGAAATATGTCTTGAACGTCTTTCTTTGGTAAATATTCTAAAGCTTTGAGGAATTGATAATACGATTCCTCTGGTGTTGTTGTGTAGATATACAGAGAATCGAAATCTAAAAGGTTTGGTGTTGTCAACATGTTAAAAGTGAGATGAGTTTTCCCAGAACCGGAACTACCGCATATACACATGAGCATTAGGTTATTAGGAAATATTTCTGAATTAATAAATTTTTTGCCCATTTTTATTTATTACATTTTCGTACCAAAAATCACCCCGTTGCCTTTTTACTTTGAAAGGAAGATTCCCTCGCCCGAACGTATGTTTTTAAAAAATATGGCGTCACCCTTGTGTTTGACCTTCATTTCTCCGGTGTCGATTTTATCTATTAATTTATCTTTAACGGTTTTCTTGGTTTCTTCGCCAAATCTTTGTCCGAATTTTTTAACAGTCCCTAATATATCTCCTACTCCCGAACCTCCTCGTGCTTCTCTTTCTATTGCCAAATTGTGTCTACGCGCAGCGGCTTCAGCTTTCTTATCGTTGACAGCTTTGGCTATCCCAGCAGCTCCACCAGCAGTTGCACCAGCTGCAGCTAAACCAGCAAAGATTAAAGGTAAGAAAGGTAAAAATCCACCTTTTTTAGTTAAATTCTCATCAATTCTTTCCAAGTCTATATCGTCTCTGACTTTGCAATGTTTGTATTTATCGATAATCTTTTGGGTTGTATGCAGTTTTTTTACCGTTGTAAGTTATTAGAGTCGGCGAATTTGTTTCCATAGCTTCTATTATTTTCATAACTAAAGTTTCTGGTTTCATTTTTAAAGGGTGTTTTTTTTATTCAATTCTTATCATTCTTCTATCTGATATTTTAATCAAATGTTTTGTTTCTTCCAGCAATAAACAATAGCCGGTCACATCTCCTTGTGTTTTATCGATGTGAATATTTATGTTTACCCCTGTTTTGAAAAGATCTTCTTGATGAGCTGACAGATCGAAACAAAAGATTGGATGATTGAGTGAAAAATCTGTGTATTCAAACCGAGGCGTATTTCCAAACAATTCGCACATGTTTTTATAGTTTCTGTACAATTCGTTGAAATCTTTTTTGGAAGGATCAATTGTCAAAGGTTGATTGGGATAATTATCGTTGTTCAATCTGACTTGAACTTTGCGAATGATGGGATCTTGAGTATGGTTCAATGCCACTCTGAAAATGTTGTTTTTGTTTGTCTGAGAGTCTGGCAAGTTTTTGAAACCGACCATTAGATATCTCGCTGGTTTGACGGTGTTGGTAATTGGCCACGTGGTCGATTCTCCAGTTAAAGTCATGCTACCTACCGTGTTACGACGAAGAAAAGCAATTTCGATGTCTTTGGTTAAAGAGTTGAATATTCTCGTTTCCACTTCTACGGAAGGAGTGTGTAAAGTTGGATATTTGTTATTTCCAATTTAGCGTCAGAGTTGTTTTCACCAAAGAATATCTTGTTGTCGTTGATTTCTCTTTGCAAATGAATTTTATACGGTAAACCTATGGAAACCTTTCTGTGTTCCAAGAGACCAAATAAAGGATACAACTTCCAATTTACGTAATTACCCCATCTGTTGTTCTCGACGACATTGTTGTATTGAAGCGCTCGTTTTTCAAATAAGTGATTTACTCCGCGAGTCACTCTTTCCAGTGTGTTTCTAGCAACTACCCTTATCCTAGCAAGGTCTGCGTCATTTGCTACAGTTCTGACCGGTTCTTTTAAAACTTCTCCGTCACCGACATCGGGAATCCATCCCGAAACTGAATCGTAGTTTTTGGGATACAGAACCGTTTTCAACATTGTGTCAAACTCGCCGGGGTGTTTTATGGTTTCTATCGGATTTGAACCAAAACCATTTCGCTTAATAATGACGGAAAGAAGTTGTTTTCTAAAGTCGTGTTGGTTTGTGGCGTCTTTGATTTTGAAATCGCATCGGAAATGGGCATCGGAAAGCAGCAACCAATTGGACAACGAATTAATTTCAAAGGTAACTCTTCCTCCGTCGTTTATTTGGGTCTTTGTCCCTACCGATGGTGAGATGATTACGTAATCCTCTTTCTTCTTGTTGAACGAATATTGAATCGGATCATACAATTGAAAGATTGGATCCAATCTGTAATTTTTGCTTGCCATTTTTATCCAATGATTTTAAACCCTTTTCCTTGTTTTTCTAGGGCTTGTCGTTCTAGTCTCTTGTTTCTTAGTTCTCTTATTAACTGCAGTTCTTTAAGTTCGTCAGATTTTTTCACTGCATCGCTTATATTTACTCCTGCTTTTGCCACAGAACCAAGAGCTTGCGCTTCTGAGGAAATGAGGGATTTGTTGTTTGAGACAAAATTGGTCACTTTGGAGATGAGAGATGTTAGCGCAGAGAAGAAACCGTCTCTTTCGAATTTTTTTTGTTCGTGTTTTAAAATTAAAGACATTTTTAACAGTTTGGGGAGTCTGATATAATACATTTTAGCAGTTGTGTCTTTTCGGATATGATGCATTGAAAAAGCTGCGCATGCGCAGAAGTGAAATGCGTCATATCCGAAAAGACATATACTACTTCCATCTTTATTTAGTGAGATGGTTTTGGAAGCTGGTTCAAATCCGATAGAAACAATCAAACATCCTGGGGAATTCGACACAATGTTGAAAACAGTTTTATATCCTAAAGATTTCGATTCAGTTTCAGGCTGGATACCCGATGTTGGTGATGGAAGTATTTTAAAAGAACCGGTAAGAAATCTTGCAAATGATGCCGATTTAGCTAGAGTGAGAGTTGTTGCTCGAAACACGATAGAAAGAGTAGGACGAGCAGTTAATCATGGATTCGAAAAACGAGTACTTCAGTATAATAATGTTGTTGAGAATAATAGGTGGGGTAATTACGTAAATTGGAAATTATATCCTTTATTCGGTCTGTTGGAACATAGAAAAGTTTCCATAGGCTTACCATATAAAATTCATCTACAAATAGAAATAAACGACGATAAGATATTCTTTGGAGAGAATGGTTCAGATGCAAAATTAGAAATAACGAATCTCCAACTTTTCATACCCGTAATAACACCATCAATTGAAGTAGAAACGAAAATATTCAACTCGTTAACTAAAGATATTGAAATAGCTTTTCTTCATCGTAACACTGTAGGTAGCATTACTTTAACTGGAGAATCCACCACATGGCCAATCACTAACACTATTAAACCAGCAAGATATTTAATAGTTGGTTTCAAGAACTTACCAGATTCTCAAACGAATAACAATAATGTCTTTAGAGTGGCAATGAACCAAACTCAAGATCCTTTAATCCATAAAGTTCAAGTAAGATTAAATAACGATAATTATCCTAACCAACCTTTAACAATTAATCCAACCACAAAGGATTATAATGAATTGTATAGAAACTATAAAAATATGTGTGAATTATTCGGAAATCTACCTCAGTTTGAATATGTAGATTTTGCACTTAATCATCCAATCTTCTGTTTTGATCTTTCAGCTCACCAAGAAGATCTTTTCAAAACAGGAGTGAACATAAATATTCATATTGAAAAAACACAAGGAGATGTAACAGGTTATTGTTTATTATTGGAAGAAGCAAAACATTTAATTAAAATAGCAGATAGAAGAATGATAAGAATTGAGTAAAAAATACACCCTTAAAAATGAAACCAGAAGCTTTAGTCAAGAAAATAATAGAAGCTATAGAAACAGCTTCCCCAACTGTAATAACAATCAACGGTAAAAAAATCAGCATAACTAAAAAACTTATTGATAAATACAAATATTGTCAAGTCAGAGACGATATAGATTTAGAAAGAATTGACGCGAACGCAAAAGAAGGTGGATTTTTACCTCTCCTTCTACCTTTAATATTTGGTGGTATTGCAGCAGCTACTGGAATAACAAAAGCCGTCAACTCAAATAAAGCAGCTGCAGTAACAGCAGCCGAAGAACATAGACATAATTTAAAAATGGAAAAGTTGGCCGAAGGTTCAGGAGTGGGAGAAATGATAGGCACAATGAAAGAATTTGGAAAAAGATTTAGTGAAGAAACCAAGAAAACTGTTAAACAAGGATTAAATAAATTAGTAGATAGTATTGACACAGGAGAAATCAAAGTCAAACATAAGGGTAATGGAATATTTTTAAAAAATATACGCACTGGAGAAGGAATATATCTTTCGAAGTATAAAGGAGAAGGAGTTATTTTTGGAACAAATTAAAATAATAAAAAATGGGTAAAAAATTTAATCATTCAGAAATATTTCCTAATAACCCAATGCTCATGAGTATATGCGGTAGTTCCGGTTCTGGGAAACTCAACTCACTTTTAACATGTTGACAACACCAAACCTTTTAGATTTCGATTCTTT